TTTAGCAGCCGCTTTATGCACAAAAATTATAAAAATATATATGTAAAGAGCATATTATCATGTACGTTTTAGAGAATGACTTAGCAACTAGAGGCATAATGTGCAAATTTACTGCATTATTAGTTGCAGATAATCAAACTTCCACTTAAAAGATGGATATTCAAAATCCCACCATTTCCCTTGAAGTATAGAATGTGAACTTATCTTGTGTAATTAAAATGTGAACCATAATATAATTACGGAATCTTATCCTCTCTAATAATTGAGTAGCAAAGTAAAAAATATTTGATGCAAATCGAATTGATCTTTTAATTTATGCAGAGAATAACATGCATGCTAGCTAGTTATTTTGAATTGTGATTTTGACCTATATTAATGATTGTTAAGTAGCACTGAGAAGTCATATCAACAAGTTGTAAATTTTGTTTTAACGCCCCCAATTGGTATAAACTATTTGAATTGTTGGGTGGATGTGTTATTTTTGTTGTTAGATTGTGTGCAAGCTTTTGGAAATGTTATAGTTTTAGGGGAGATTCTACCAAATTTTTGGTAGAAAATAGAAATCGTCTCATGTTTACTTTGTTTATTTGGTAGGTCAAAAAAAAAAAAAAAAAAAAAAAAAAAAAAAAAAAAAAAACCAGAGGTCCTTGCAGACTACGAAAGACTTCTTAGACCACTTGCACCATGACCCAGAAGATCACCATTACATGGGATCCTCGACATCATGCGGTTGCAACAAAGGAGCAGCACAGTGCATTGGCCACCGACATTGGCTACGTTATCAAGAACCATTGTCCCCTCAAGTGGGAGTCATGGAGAGTTGTGCCACAAGAAACCAAGGATGCCGTGCTTTATGAATTATCACTAAGTATTTTCAACCTCAAAAACTAAATTTTTATTAAAGTTTACAAAGATTATAAATTTTAACTACTATTTATTTGTTGAGTTTTGCAGCATCACTATGAGCTCTCCAACCTCGATTCCAACCAAATGGAGTACATCAATGACCTTTGCTCCAGTAGGTTCATTCAATGGAAAAGCGACCTCCCCAAGCATTATGAGCTATATGACGGTTCGGAGGTTGCTCTAGAAGTTGGGTGCCCTGTAGAGTTGCTAAACCGTTGGGATGAATGGGAGTAGCTCTGTGGCCATTTTCAAGACGAGAAATACATGGTACGTATAATTTATATTTCAATAATATATTAATAAAAAAAATTCACTTAAAAAAAAACATTTCATTTTTTTCATTCACCTGGTATAAATATCTAAACTAATACTTTTTTTTAATTCAACAGAAAAAAATGAAGGCAAACTCAATCAATCGGTCGAAGAAGAAACTTTTTCACTAATCCGGGTCACGACGCTTCTCTTATAGGTTGGAGAAGCAACGTAGGGTAACCGTATATTTATTTTAAGTTTTCAATCTTTTTACTCTTTATTACACAATTGGTAATCTATGTTAACACTTCTTAAATTTTTTGAGGAGGGGTCAAAGTTTCTTGAAATTGACATTTCAAAAAGGTGTAAGTTCGGCCTGTGGATGAGTTGACGGAGAAGCTTCATGTAAGTTCTTTCAAATTTATAATATTCAATTTGTATTAATATTAATTATATGTATATTCAAATAATTTGTTTTTTTTTTTTCATTTTTCTAGTCCACCATGGTGGAGAAAGGCCAGACAGTTTTGGAAGTGGTGGCTTCCCAGCTTCCCCTAGAGACCCTGATCAATGAGGTGTTTCCCTCTAAGGATGCTGGGTTTCAGATCATGATTGACACACTTGATCAGACCCTTGGTTATCGGCATGTGTCGGCATAGGAATGTTCACCAGGGGCTTGGGAAAGCCCGTCTGCCTCATCTTCCAAGCAGCGAATTGAAAATGTCTAAAATGCTGACATCTAAAGTGGTGGGCTTGAAGGAGTAGATTGCGGCCCAAAACAATTTGATGAACCAAATATGTCGTACACTTCATATCTTTGGCATTCAATTCCCCAACGTTGAACTACCTCCAAAAACGACCTCCCAGCCCCTCGCCGTAGTAGTTACATCTTCGAAGCCCCCTGTCGCAGTAGCTACAACCTCCCAGCCCCCTGACACAACAACACCACTAGCCAGGGATTGTGATGTGGCAGACTTCGTTTTTTAGTTTTGTTTTAAATTGTTTTCCAATTTAAAAATACTTTTTTTTCCATTGTATGTACATTCATAATAATTTTTCGATTCAATATTCTTCTTTACATTTTCTATTTTATTTTCATTAAATTAATTTTTACATAAACAAAATAAAAATAAAAAAATATATTTATATAACAAATTTACAAATAAATAATAAATAAAGAATAGATTATTTAAAAAACTAATTTTAAAATCTTACTATGATGGCCTCTATATCCGTCACGCAAGAGTTTGTGGGTCGAACCTACATGTCCGTCGCACAACAGTTTGTGGGTCGAACTTGAACGTCCGTCATGTAAGACTTTAAGGGTCAAACCCGTGTCACATCACGCAAGAGTTTAGGGAACGCGCAAATACCACGACCTCCATCGCGCAATCATCATTTTGCGGGATAAAGACATTTCCTTTGTCGCGCAATGCCTGACGTCACGAGCTTTGCGTGACAGAATTTGAGCGACGGAGTCTTCGCCGCCCAATGTTTTTGGCGGTGATTTTTTCCTTTGCACGACAGTTTTCCCTTCGTCGCCCAAGAAGTTATTCCTAATAGTGCAATTAGCTCCATCATGTTCTCTCATATGTATTAACATCCTTGTGGTGAAAGATCGATATTACAATTCTCATACAACATTTTCTATATGTGTTGTCATGAAGGAAAGAAGGACGGAGGATGGAGGACAAAGAGTCGTGAGTTGTCATGAAGGAAGGGTGACGAGGGTCATCGCAGAGAGCTGAGGTTGTGGGCTGCCTGAGGAATCGCTAATATTTTTGGATGAGAGACCGTGAGTAATGTGGTTAACTGAGTTAAAAAAGAATGAAAGTTTAAAAGTGTAAAATAGGGGATGTGAGGCCGTGAGTGAGGTGAGGGTGAGGTGGGTGAACCCTAATTAGGATGGGATCCACTGTTTTACAACTTGGTGAAACTAATTTTTCAACCCATTATACCATGACTTGTGTGTATATATATTATTTATTTATTTATTTATTATTAATAAAACGATTCATTTCGATGTTGGCTAGTTCTTGTTCATTCGAAACTGGATTGAACCGGTCCGGTTCGATTTTGACTCAAAGTTGACTCTTCTGGTCAACATGGTTCTTTTCGATTTTTTTTTTCATACGGTTCGATACGATTTTGCGGTTTTTATGCCCACCCCTACCTGTATCTCTCAACTCTCCCTAAAAACCTCATTGACTTCACCAAACAAATATGATTTTTTTTATCCATCAATCTGCGTCCAAATCCGAAGGCACGAACCAACTATAAAGCCCACACTCTGCTGCTGCTGCAACATCGAATTAGACACAGTAAAACCCAGATCATCAAATCTACAACCTCTAGTCTGAAGCTATACCTGCAATCTTTGCCATCAAATATGAACAAAACTCGAATCAAATAAAGCCTGAATTGCTTGTTGTTGCACCACGACTCTGAATCTCACAAACCTAATTCATATTTTGATGAAGTCCCAATTGGAGGCACATGCTTAAATCTAATCTCACAAACCCAGTTGGAGTTGCGGAGGTGCTTGCTTAGAGACGGTGAGGCGTTGAAGACTAACAATTTACAAAAGAACTCTAACAAACTATAACCAACTCTTATCAACATTTTGATGACTAAACGTTAGCCTCTTTACACCCCATCAAGCTGAACTTGGAAGCATCAAAGGGACCAAGAGAAAGCTTGGATTGAAGATATAAGAATATGTGCCTGGACAAAGACTTTGTATGAATGTCTGCTAATTGATCTTGACTACAAACATATTGAATCTTGATAAGATGAGCAAGAGATCTTGACTACAAGTTCACTGATGTAATGATAGTCAATTTCAACATGTTTAGTCCGGGCATGGAACACTGGGTTAGAAGCTAAAGAGATCGCAGAAATATTATCACACCAGAGATGAGGAAGTTGAGGTAGGGGAAGACCAATATCTCAGAAAACTTTACATATCCATGTTATTTCTACTAAAGTGTGAGCTAAAGACTAGTACTCTACTTCAGTGGAAGACTGGGCAACCGTGGATTATTTCTTGGCACTCCAACTAATCAAATTAGAACCAAGAAAGATACAATATCCATTGGTAGACCTTCTATCAAAGGTACACCCTGCCCATTCGACATCAGAGTACGCAGTAAGATTCAGAGTTCCTGGTTTGAACCATAAGCCATTTGTAAGAGTACCTTTTGAAAATCGCAAAATCATTTTGGCAGCCTGAAGATGAAAGTCCCTTGGAGCATGCATGAATTGACATACTTGATTAATCGCAAAAGATATGTCTGGCCTCGTCCGTGTAAGGTATTGCAAGGCACCAACTATGGATCTATACTCGGTTGGTTTAGACAAGAGTGCACATGTATGATCAAGCTTTGTTGTGCCTATATGAGTTGAACATGGTTTAGCTTCATCCATCTTAGTTTTCTGACGAATATCAAGCAAATACTTGCCTTAATGTAGAAAGATACCTTCAGATGATCTGTGAAATCCCATCCTCGGAATTTCACTATTCATTATGTATCTTGTAATTTAAGTTCGTATTTCACGTTTACGTTATTTTGATTACTTAATTTTAATTCCGTAAATTTTGGGAATTAAATCGAATAGTGATCGGGTTTGAATTTTCGAAATCAATCTTTATCTTTCGTTGACTTTTCGAAGTTTTAACTAGTGTCTTTAAATAGATCTCGAACCCACGAACGCATAGGCGAAAGCCATTTGCGAGTCTGAATTATAACGGTATAGTTACGGACGTTTGAAGTTGTAAACTATAGATTGTGGAAATTATTTAATTCCCATATGTGGGTTAAAGGAAGTTAGTTTAAAAAGGGAAAGGGACCAATTAGAGGGGGAGAACTCTAGAAGCGGGAGGATGGCGGCAGGGAAGAGGAAGAAAAGAAGAGATGCGAGAAAGAAGAGGAAATTGGGGGGAAAGGAGGACAAATCAAAAAATACAAGAGGGAGAGACGGGTCAAAAGAAAGGAAAAAAAAGAAAAAAGGGGGAGATGGCGTTGGCCAAGAGGGGGATTACAAGGAATCCCATTGCCCCGAAACTATGAACCGGAATAAGGAGGAAAGAAGAATGGGAAAGAAGGGGGGAACGAAGAGAGAAATTGTACCCCGGCTTTTGAGAGAGGTCGAAGGAAGTATAGAAGGAAGTGTAGAAGACGATGTCTGAAGAAGCAAAGAGAATCATAACGAAGGTATGATTCCTTTTATCGACCTGCAACATTGGTAAAAACTCCTAGCTCTCTTTGTTCTTTCCATAATTGCTTTGTATCAATCTTCTTATTACTTTCAATTTTATACATTGGGTGTGTTGATCAAATTATCATGTTTTAGGGTTTGGGAAAAAGGGTCAATTCTTGTTTATTGTTGACATAATTAAATCAAAGTTATAAATATGATTGAATTGTATAGAAGTATTATGAAGTTACGTTTTGAATTAGAAGAATTTGGGTTCTAAGTTGCAGAAACTTATGTGTCTGCAGAGAAAAGCTATGTTTCAGTAGCTTACTTTGGCTCTTGATTTCTATGTCCTAATGGATTCCTTTTGATCCATTATTATGTGTTTTGAAACTAGACATGTCAATGATCCAAGCCCATCTGATTTCACATAATTCTTATAAGTTTTGATATGTCAAAACCATGTACAAATTTGAGTCACGAAGCTGCTAGACAGCAGCAAATACTGGACTTCCAGTTTCGGGGTTCTATTATGTATCTTGCATAACTTTCAAATCGGAATCCCGTTTCTTACAAATCTTAGATGTTTTTAATGTACTCAAAACAAGCTTCGAATCTCATGTAAGTTTGCATCATTCGGTATAGTTATGGGTGTTCAAAATTGGGCTTAATCTTGGTTGACTAAGACTGTTTTTATGCAGCTTTTGTGGAGATGAGGCTGTTGCTTTTGCAATATCATTTCTTCTTACAACTTTAATTCTAGTTTACTTATCTATTTTGAGTTTGTGCTTAAACCACTTGATAAGGTTACGTCTTGGGTTCCAAAAGAACCACTTTCTTATACAATTATGTGCCAATGTATTTATGTATTCTTTACCTATTCAGGTTGTGTATACACATATTTGTATATTCATGCATAAGCATGCAAGTTCTTGAACTACACCAAAATAGCCCTTAGGTTCGCAATTCTTTTTCATATGTTGCTATGGCTGTTGGGTAGTTCCAACTTTACCGATCAAAGAATTTCTTTAAAGTCAGAAACAATGAATATTATATAGGTGTGTATTATATGATTCCATCCCTTGGCTTATAAGATAAATTTGAGTAAAGCTGTGATATGATTATAAGCTCAATTATTTTATTGTGTTGGTGCATTTTTATACCTATTGAAACACATCATTACTAATGGTCCAGAATTATTCCTTAATGTGTATTTACAACGATTTATTTTAGATCAACCAAAAAGGGCATTGAATTTGGATACTGTTACATTAGTAATCCAAAGTACTTTCATTAGGATTAAAATTCAAGTCATGCATTTAGTAGTATCTTGCATTTGTGAAACAGAATTTGGCCACGATGGTGGATCCTTGTGTTAGTAACTAAGAGCAATGCTTAGGAATCCAAGTAAGGGAAATACGACATACCTTTATGGAGATGATGAGGTTTAGATATACCTGGTACTTTTAGTAGGTACCATATGCTTGCTTGGATTCCGTTGAGTGATGGTCCAGAATCATATGCTTGTTTGGATTCCGTTGAGTGATGGTCCGGAATTCCTTTTACTCCAGATTCCGTTGAGAGATGGTCCGGAATCCCTTCTACTCCGCGATTCCATTGAGTGATGTTCCGGAATCGTATCTAACTTGGTTTTCACTTAGTGGTGGTTGTGCATTGTGCTCCGCGATTCTGTTGAGTGATGGTCCGGAATCGTGTCCACTCGGATTCCGTTGAGAGATGGTCCGGAATCCCTCATACTCCGCAATTCCGTTGAGTGATGATCCGTAATCGTATCCTGATTTGGAGTCCGTTGAGTAGTCCGGAATCCCTACTCTTGCTCATTTCCATAAGTTAGACTTGTTCCCTGGATTCGAGTGAATGGGATTTACCCACAATAGATCTTATGAATATAAATTAGAATTATCAAGTTATTACTTGAAATCCAGGCAGGGAATTATGTAGAAGTTCTTTATTAATTTTGTGCATTGAGGTGTGATCTGATTGACTGATTAACATAATTAAATGTTAATATCATGCCTCCTTGATATCATGGAATGGATTACTTGAGATGATTGTGGAAGGATGTTGAAGTTATTAACATGATTAGATCAATGATCAATGCGACTAGAGGATACTATTATGCTGTGTTGATTCTTTGATATATTACATGATATGAATAGCGATTTTATGTTGAAACATAATGATTTATATGATGGATGAAATAGAAACCTTGAATGTCATGTGGGTTTGTTTGGTAGCCATGAATCTACTATCCATGCTTGTTAAGTTCTAATAATTGATTGAGGAATACTATGCTTTTCGATTTGAACGTACTATGATAAACGTCGAAGTGTAATGAAATGTTGAACTACGAATGACTTGATCCCTATTGAGGGTACGTAGGCAGTCTAACGAAGAGGTTAGATGCAGCCATAAAGTATACGCAAAATTATTATGCATCTGGATCTTGAATTATATTTTGTACATATCAAAATGGCGGGGTATGTTGAGTTACGGGCATTTAGGGACGTCACGTGTCGATCTTGGACGTATGTCGAGATCAGGGCATGACATGATATGTGCACCTCAAGTCCCAAAAAATAGATCAAAGGTCCCAGATCTTTAACTGGAAATACAGTGCTCAGTTTCTGGATGAAATGTTGACAAAGAGTAGCATTGGGACCTGTGACTAGAATATCATCAACATACACTAGGATGATAACCAAGGTTGGAGCCTTTAATACAAACAAAGAATCATCTGAAGATGATTGCTGAAAACCAAAGGGATGCAACACTTGAAATAATTTGTCAAACCAAGCTTTTGGAGCTTGTTTAAGGCCATATAGGGATTTTTTAAGTTTGCAAACATGATTTGGGAAAAGGGGGATCACTAAACCTGGGATGTTGCTGCATAAAAACATCTTCTTGTAATTCCCCATGCAATAAGGCATTACTAATATCTAATTGGTTTAAAAACCATTGAAACTGAACTGCAAGAGACAATAGGATTCTGATGGTAACGGGCTTGGTGATAGGACTGAAAGTTTCCTTATAGTCGAGGCCCTCTTGCTTGGGAAACCCATTTGCTACAAGCCGAGCCTTATATCGGTCAATAGCCATCAATATGTTTCTTAATCTAAAACACCCACTTATAACCAACAACATTTTGATTTGGAGAATGGGGTACAAGAACCCAAGTTCCTGAGGATAGCATAGCATTAAACTTGATTTGCATGGCAATTCTCCACTAAGCATGCTTGGAAGCTTGCAAATAAGTAGATGGAACAAATTCAATGAAAGAAGGAAGATGATGATTGGTTGCCGAAAACGCATTTGTCTTGAATATCCCTGCTTTGGATAATGTAATCATAGGATGAATGTTGATTGCAATAGAGAAAACATTAGGAGCAGATGTGGGAGTACCAATGGAGTCAACAATGGTAGCATGTGTATTAATAATTGGAGCAACATTTGGAACACTATGTCAAGGGGACATTGTAGAAGAATCAACTCGGGAAGCATCACTGTGAGCAGCTTCTAAAATAATAGGTGGTGTGATATGAACATATTTATGCGACTTTGTTATTTTATTTCTTTACATTTACTGAGTTAATTTCCATTTATTTTGGTAAATTAAGTTATTTTCGTATTATTGTAGGATTAGTTGGTAACGATGACAATAAATAGCTAAATGGAGCAATTTGGAACAGTTTAGGACTAGGATTGGATAGCATGCGTGGATAGTATATGGGCTGGACGTTTTTGGTGTTTAAATGGTGTTAGAAATATGCTAAACTCTGGAGAAATTAAAGTTGAGGCTTGGAAGACAAGGAATTACACAAGAAAGATGAATCTTAGTTGGAGAGGAACATTATCTTATCTTATCTTATCCTATCTTATCCAACATTATTTTATGTTATCTCTAGCTGCTGGGGATTAGTAAAATTGCTAATCACTTTATGTTTTTCATTTGTTTTTTCTTTTGATATTTGATTTAGTTTCATTTCTTTGATTTCAGGTACTAGAGAAACAAGACATGGCAATTTCGTATCTCTACCAAATCAAATTCTAGCACTATCGCCGTGGATTAGTAAAATTGCTAATCGCTCTATGTTTTTAATTTCTTTTTTCTTTTGATATTTAATTTAGTTTCATTTCTTTGATGTCAGGTACTAGAGAAGTAAAACATGGCAATTGCTAATCTTCAAGTTGAAATGGTGAATCTTACTTCTTGTATGTCATAGTATATCGAAATGACCACAATGCAAAGTGTGGCCACATTTGGTGTGTCATCTAGGCAATGATATCAAACTAATCAACATCCTCAATGAATTGAGAATGGAGGTTGGGATAGTGTCAATGCTTGGGGTTATCTAGGCCATAATCAATAAAGGAACGACTTGTTTTCCAACACTTACAATCCAGGTGGGAGAGATTGTGGAGCCAAAAATAATCAAGAAGAATATGGAGATGACACGTGGATTCTAGGGTAAAAAGGACAAAACTACCCTTGAGGAACACCGGAACTCCTACGCGCGAGTAGTGAATAATCATCCCTCAATCAAGTCAAAAGTGCCAAAAATAGGTATTTATTTAAAACATATTTCATCCATCCTCATCAAATATTCTCCACAAGGTAATCCCCAAATCTTTCATTTCAAATTATATTAATTAGCTAATTAATTGATTTATTATTCAATTAATTTATTACTTAGCTACAAACCATGAAGCTCATCCAAAAAACCATCCAAGTGGCCGGTCCATCTCCTCCCAAAGGGACCGGCCACATCCCTATATAAACACCCTCATTTTCTCCAAAACCTAAGTTCTATATTCTTGCAAAATTCTCTAAATTTCTCAAACACTTTTCCCTCAAAATTCTAACTTTGGCATCGGAGGTTTTTCGGCCAAAGCCCCCCATTCATCGTGGGTGCGAGAGGCTCTTGGCCTTGACCTAAGGTGTTATTTGTTTTGTAGGTGCATTTTTGTCCAAGAACAAGGAGGAAGAAATTTATATCCACAAATTGTTGCTTTCATTGAGAGCTTGATTCACACGCTTAAAGAAGACTCTCGCATTCAACATTTCTAATTTTTTTTCGTTCATTCGTAAATTTTCCCACACGTTCCTACTCCTAGAATTTTTATATAAATTCTTTAAATAGCCCTGAGAAAGAAATACGATGACGAAAAAATTATGAAACAACAACAAAATATGCTCCCAACAAATTTGGGTTTTCACCCACTTGACGGATCACAAAGCAAAGGTCGCAGACATCACCCTCTGCCATTCTCGCAGCCATGGGTGCGGTCTCGCAAGTCCAAGGAGCAGCAGTTGCAACAGCTCCAACAATGAGGGAGGCCCATGCACAATTACACCAGGCACGGCGTCAGGAGAAGGCCCAGCCCTTCCAAAATCCAACCCAGCCTGCACTAGGTGTCACTCGCAGCCCAAAATCGGCGCAGCATCAGATGGTCCACACGCGGACAAATGCGGCCCAGCAGGCATAGGTATGCATAGCTCCTCCAGAGCTGATTGCAGCAGCAACGGGCCCGTGCCTTAATCCACTCAGGCCCAAATTGGACTTAGGACCAGGCGGCTCATCCATGCAAAGGGCCAGTGCATGCAGCCCACGTGGAAACCAAAGCTGCTATGGCAGCGACTACCCAGGCCCACTCCCTTGCAAACCCAATGCCCAGAAGCCCTAGCGCGAGAGACCAGCTCAGGAGCAGTCAACGCGGGTCCCGCCGACCCGGATCCGTGACTCCTTGCGCCCATACAGGCCAATTTTTTGGCTATTTCGAACCATTTTTAGGCATTTCGGACCCGTTTTTGGTGTTTTTTTTATGCAAATTTGGCTCACTAGAGCTCAAAATTTTGCAACAAAAGTTCACTTGACACGCCCAATCCTGATATTCCTCGAAATTCTAGGATAAACACATGCTGGCCGACACCCAAAAGTAACGAAAGTCATTTATTGAATGCAAATGCTGAGAACAATGAATAAATAAGATTTATAAATATAAAATATAATAAATATGCATTTTAGGAACGTGTTCAGAGCACACAACTAATAGTTAGAGGAAAAACACTTCAGGCCATATGCCAACACCATAACCGTCGCCCGGGACGGATCAGAATCTATCCCTTCGTTCCGTAGCTGAATAGGAACCACTAGGTAAGTACAAAACCATTGAACATATATATATTGAAAAACAACTTCATAGCATAAAGTCATTCATCATCTATACAATAAAAAAGTGTTCTAAACATGTTATAAAGATCATATCGTCGTCCATCAGATATTCTATAAAAACACGGGTTATAAGAAAAATAGTAATAATTCAAAATTGCCTCAATAAGCATGTTATCTTACAAAACATTTCATAAAATGTAATCATCGAATCATATTTTTCATGATTGCATTTCTACTATTAAAACATATATTTTTAGAAGGGGTTCACTCATAGTACTTCACCGTCGAAAAGCCGCGTTACTAGCGAAGATAGAAACACCACAATATATGCACCTAAGCACATAAAGAATACAATTAATAAAACTCTATTATAACAATTTAATTTGGGAAAACGGACATTGGAAACGAATTCAGGACGTCGAATTACCCAAAGAAGGGTCCCGGTTAAATTTCGTAAAAGTCCATAGAATATTTCAGAGAATATTCCCTGACAGAATATACCCTAACAAAATATTCCACATAAAGGGTTTAGGCTGATTAGGGTTTAGGGTTTGAAAGGTTAAAGGGTTTAGTGCTTAAGGCCCTAGGTTAAAAATATTTGGATTAGGCTTTTAAAAAAGAGTTGGGCTTTAAGAGTTTGGGTTTAATTTCAAACAAATAAAATAAATAAATAAATAAAAGGGTTTCTAATGGGTTTGGGCTTGAAATAAAATAAATAAAAATAAAAGGATTTGGGTTGAGTTTTAAAGAGATTAATGGGCCTAAGGCCTTAGTCCTTTACGGCCCAAAGGCCTAAACTAACAAGGTTTGGGTTTTAGGTTAGGCTTTAAAGGGTAATGGGTTTAGGTTTCATTTGCTTGGGCTTAGGGAATTTGTTTAGGTTGGGCTCGATGCTGGTTTGGGCTGTGCTACCTCGGGCTGGTTCTTTGGCCCATCTTTTATGTGGGTCGCCATAACCCATTGAAGGAGAAGGTCGGAATTTTGGCTAGAAATTGGACAAACTCTAAAAGCTCATAACTTTGTCAATACTTAATGAAATCAAGTGATTGAAAAACAAAAGTCGTAATTCTCAAAAAGACGAAGAGAATGTTACCTCACTTGACAGTTAACTCGTCGTGGTTTGGCCGAAAAACACCTCGAAAGCCGTTGAGGTCGCTGGAAATTGGGTAAGATTCAAATGAGTATAACTTCTTTAATACTCAATGAAATTGGGTAAAACAAAAAGGAAAGTTATAGTACTCAGCGAGACAAAGAGATTGATACCTTGCACGTCGGCCAACTCGCCATGGTTTGGCCGAAAAGTGGCCTGAAAGCCATGGGTATTTGCTAGAATCTGGGTTTAGTTTTTCGAGGTGGTTTTCCTATGTCAAAACGTCGCCAAGACAATACCTATTTTTATTAAAACCATCAGAACGTTGAAAAGGAAGAATAAGTGATGGTATTTCTAGCCTCACCTAGTTGGGAATACTAAAACTCGCTGGCGTAGGTGTGTTAAGCATGTTTAGGTGGTCTTTGTGCTTCACAGAGGAGGAGGGAGAGAAGAAAGGCCCAACGATGGTGGTGCTGCCGTCGTGTGTTTGTATGCTTGTGTGTGTGTGCGATTGACGGTAAGGAGGGAAGAGGGAGGTGTAGAAAGTTTCAGGGAGACAAAGAGAGAAAGCTAGAGAAAAAGTTATAAAAATCAGAAAAAGAAAGAAAATGGGAGAGGAACAGGGGGACAAATCAGAGGGTGGCCCCTCTTGGGCTCACAAATTAAGGCACAAAACCCATTTTTAAATAAAAACCCAAAACTACCTTTAAAATTGGTGGTAGGGTGTAACACCACTGTACTTCTATTACTCAAAGAGACGCATACTGTCCAAGCTCTTCTAACCCAAATGGTGAACAACACTTGTCTCGACAAGTTATAGAGTTAACAAGTGCCCTTGCACAGTAGACGACCTTGGTGAATCAGCTCTTGCAATGCACTAAGATGCAACATGCCTCATACGAGGTGTCCTGAAGTAGGACAAGGGCAGACAACGAACCTCTCTAACAACGTCCCGACAAGCAGCCACTCGACCAGCCACGAACCGAGTGTTCGGGCAGTGTACACTCCCGACTGGGCCCTCAAGATAACGTATACTCCCGTCTTAGCGTGCGGATGAGCATGCACTCTCGACTAGGCCTATGGACCAGCATACATTCACAGTTGGGGCTAGGCCTATAAGGAGCATCCTCCACCTTACATCGGAGTAGGCAGCACGAATGACGAAGAGAAACAGTCACTCAATCCTGCTCAAGTTCAACCAGCAGCCTATGAAGAATTCCCTTGCCTGCTAGGAATGAACCATATGCACCACTGTTGCGATATAGACGAGCCGAGCACGTAGAAAAGTAGCTTAGACCATCAAGTCACGATTGGGGGCAACTGAGAGCTCCACCACCCCCAACAAAGGAAAATTCAGGAAGAAGTAGAGAAATTCTTGACCAAGCGATTGCGCGATTTCCAATGCAATAAGGTCACCGACGAGGCACTACGACATGACATGACCAACATAAGCAGGTCACCCTTCACGCATGAGATCGAGTGGACAAAGTCTCCACACAAGTTTATCATGCCATATTTCACATCTTTCAAAGGAGATGGAGACCTGAAGAGACACTTGAAGCACTACCGAAGCGCAATGATCCTCTATCGAAACAACGACAATCATGTGCAAGATATTCACTACCACTCTACAAGGCGAGGCGCAAGATTGGTTCTACATCTTGCCGCCATAATCTATTCGGAGTTTCAACGAACTTTCTTTGGTTTTCACCAAAGAATATTCATTCTATCGCTCAATTAAGAAAAAGTCCGACCACTTGTTCAACGTTAAAAAGAACCCAAATGAGTCGCTTCACGACTATGTGAAAAGGTTCAAAGCAGAGGAGGCAAAGATAGTCGGATGCAACAACTCGATAGATAGAGTAGTCTTCCAAAAAGGATTTCCAGCAAACCACCCGCTATTCGAAAAATATCATGAAAGAAGATCTAACTTTGGCAAACTCTTTCGCTCTAACGAAGAAGCATGCTCTTTGGGACGAAGTTCGCCGATCTAGATGCAATGACTTGAAAAAGAACCTGACATCACCTCCCTACTATCCAAACCGGAAGCAGCAGATGACCTAGTCACATGTTTGATGGTATTCGAATCAGCAATAAGCTCTACCATTATATGAGAAGAGCTGGGGGCCCGACTACCTGTATTCCACAATTCAAAAGCTAACTTTGTGATAATTGTTGCAACCCTAAAGCTCAAGTTTTACTTTCAGACGCATGCAGTCATCCTCATGACACACTATTCCACCTAATCCAGACGCGTGACGATAAAGGTATAGACACTAACAGATGCAAATTTTTTTTAGGAACGCAATAACTTGGCCCAAAAGGTGCGCCAAGGGTAGATGAACAATAGAAGGACACATTAGGAAGCAAGTTTTGTCCTCGTCGCCCCAAAAGATTCTACATAGAAGCAACATGTACCGGTAGTTGAACACCACATCTTGCTGCG